CCCCAAAACCCCAAAACCCCAAAACCCCAAAACCCCAAGACATAAATAAATAACTGAGAAGAGCTTTAAAATATATATCAATATGGCAATGAATCAATATTTTGGGAACGATGAGAACTTAGCTGATGATTTACTCAGCGAAGGAACCTCTACAAGTGAAGTTAAAGTGAATGAAAGGATGAATGAGAACATGGAAATGTCTCCATTCAATAAATCAAAGCATAAGAAGAGTGCTGACTGTGGATTATTACCCCAGATGTCCATGTCTTTGGATACTAAAATCCTTTCTAATAAACAACCTAAGGCAGCCAAAAGTGTCAATAAGAACATGCTCTGTTCTTTTCAACCTGAAAGAAGGCAGCAAAGCCTTAAAGTGCATAAAGATTGGACTTATCAAGACTCTAATGTGAAAGAATGTAAAAAGGTTTCCATAAAAGATGAAATAAGTGATCTACTAAAGAAATCAGCAATGCTCAGAGAAAAGAGGAAATTTAAAGCAAATAAAAAACTGAAAGTCATTGATATTCCTCTTGAAGAATTTGAAATCTTCAGCAACGAAGCTAAAGAAGAAGGGCTCTTTACCTTCGGAGATTAACCTGTTCGGTTTCCTTAATAATTTTAATAATATTTTTGCTAACACTCATAACTATTATTTAAATCGTTTGTCTTGCTTGGATAATAAGTTTGATGCTTCCAAGTCTTCCAGAGTTGAAAATAAGCCTATATCTTGGGTTTGGTATTCTATTTTGGCTACCCAAATCTTTCTCAGATCTTATAAAATTGTTGAAAATTAATCATTTTAAGTAAGATACCTAGATTTTGATAGATTCCGATTTATAAGAATCTTAAAATTTAGATATTTTTAGATTCAGAACTAAATGGAGAATAGCCAATTATTGAAGTTTGTAGTGCCTTAATTCTGATTATATCCAAATTCAGGCCTAAGCTTCCCATAATAATTTTTAATTAGAAGGTCTGACAGATATAAACTTATGATCGAACACCAATTAAAAAAATTGGATAAAGAGTTTCCAAATTTTGGAAAGAGGCAATTTATTCTTATCTGCAATTATTTCCCATCCATGAATCACTATTTTTCCAAGAGTTTATATGCTCTACCTCTCAAAGATACCATGTCACAGAAATATAAAATTAGTATTTTGAAATTGTCCTTTTCTGATAACCCCCATCGGGAAGAACATATCTACTAGAGTTTAAGCTCAAAAAGGTTCCTCATCCTTATTTCAACACTTGTAAATTTTTCAAGAAACTTATATTTTGCTATTGCTTCTGGACATTGGTTGCCGGGCTCTAATTCCTGCTATGAGCATTTATTTCCCTGGTCATAAATACGAATGATTTTTAATTCCCTCTTTGACCAGAATTCACTTTTCCTTAATCTCAGATTTATTTGCTTCTCAAAAATTGATTTCTACCATATTTTGTAGAAATTTTTAATAATTTCGACAATTCAGGCTGAGTTTAAGAGAAATAAGAGTTTTTTAGAATTAAGAGAACCATTATAATTTTCAAAAAGTAAGGAAGCTTCTAATTCCTCTTGAAGCTAAGTCGCGAGGAATTCGCAGAGAATTTCTGGTTAATGTCTGAAATTGATTTATCCTGCCATGCTTGTATTTCAGAGCTAGTGAAATTAAAGGAAAGAAGGCATTCGAGAGTAATAGAGGTTTATTAAAAGAAAAAATTTGCTTATAATTTTAGATATTAATTGAGTGAAAGCATTCAAAATTATTATGGAAAATTATCCTTTGAAAGTTTTACTCATTTTCTCAATTCTAAATAAAATATTCCCAGTGTTAAAGAAAATATTTAAACAGAATTCATTTTTCCTTACTCAAATAGATTTAAGGGTCGACAGGTGTCTAAAATAATTTCTCTGATCCTAATAATATAACTCTTATGGATAGTTCAAGATTATATTTGAACGAAAATTCTAGATGCTCTTCAAAGAATGCTCAGCAGGCATAATGATAACCTCAATATAGATTTCTATTCAGGGGTTTTGGGGTTTTGGGGTTTTGGGG